ATATATATATATATATATATATATATATATATATATATATATATATATATATATATATATATACATACAATTATTATATAATATTAATATCAATCTGTGTATGGAATGCGACCTAATGTTTTTAATGAAAGTTTTTAGACTGTATTTATCACTAGGGTCCCTGGGCTGGTCTTGGTGGTGTTTCCTGCATTTCTAAAAGTTGAAAACCGAGTATTAAAACACAATATTTGGGATTAAAATCATTGGAAGCAAAATTTTGTTGCATAACTCAAGAACAATGACATAGTGATAGTTAATGCACGACAAAAACGCAACCACAATTCTTTGTAAAAAAAACAAAACAAAACAAAAAACCTACAATTCTTTGTAGTTAGCGCCACCTGCTGTTTGTTTCTCTCGTTGTTCCCTCCATTTTTTGCATACTACATATTATGGGATCTTTCAGATTTATAAAATCAGGTTGGTATAGCAAAGGTGCTGTTATTCCCTCTCTCACATGTTTTTGTGAAGGGAGATTAGGTTAATACCGCAGACAGGCCGTTGCAGCAGCGCATTAGGGGAGATACTGTGTGAAGCAAGTCATTGCTTCAACCCACTCAAAAAAAAAAAAAGTGGCATTGTGTGGAAACATTGTTGCACAGAAGGGTTGAACACTAGGTGATGCAGGCTTGTTTCCCTCTCTTTATTTCTCTGTTATTCTCTTTAATACATCCCTCATGGTGCTGTCCTCACCAGTAGTTGGCATTCATTCAGCATGATCAGTGTGTGCTCTTTATGCGATTTCCAGATACCTCTGTGTATTTTCAGTTATCTAGACCTGCATTAGAAGAAAACCATGGCACTAATTACAAGAGGACTCCACAGGGTATTTTTCTGGATCAAGAGACCAAATAGCACAATTACACAAGAGATCATGGCAGTTTTATTTATTTATTTATTTATTACCTTATTTATTTATTTGCTTATTTATTTGTTTGGTTATTTATTTATTTATTTACTTATTTATTATTTGTTTGGTTGGTTATTTATTTATTTATTTGCTTATTTAGTGTTTGTTTGGTTGGTTATTTATTTATTTATTTGCTTATTTAGTGTTTGTTTGGTTGGTTATTTATTTATTTATTTGCTTATTTAGTGTTTGTTTGGTTGGTTATTTATTTATTTATTTGCTTATTTAGTGTTTGTTTGGTTGGTTATTTATTTATTTATTTATTTTATTTTGACTGATGTTTCATGTAATGGTGTTTTTTTTTCTGCAGTCACTGAACTCTGTGTGGCTAAAAAACATTTTCAATTCCTTTCCATACATGTATCACAGGAATGTAATCTGATATGATTATATTAGCTCCCAATATAAAACAAACAAACAACCATATGAGGATGTTACTCTGTAAATAATAATTGCACATTAATAATTGCATATTAATAATTGCATATGAATAATAACATATTATTATTATTGTTATTGTTGTTGTTGTTGTTGTTTTAACCTAGTATCCCATTATTATTGTTGTTTTAACCTAGCATCCCCTTGTCATTTAACACAAACATAAAATAAATTGTTTATGCAAATAATATAACAGCAGTTAAAGATTGTTATTATTATTATTATTATTATTATAAAATAAAATACAAGAATAAAATGAGACTGTTTTGCAAATGATTGTTGATACTACTACGACTACTACTACTAATAATAATAACAATAACAACAAATATTTATGTACATACATACCTGTATATATTTTACATTTTTTAATTATTATTATTATTATATGTTTTTTCTTATAACTATAGTTGATAAACACTCTGTTTTACATTTTTTAATTATTATTATTATTATATGTTTTTTCTTATAACTATAGTTGATAAACACTCTCAGTTTTACATTTTTTAATTATTATTATTATTATTATTATTATTATATGTTTTTTCTTATAACTATAGTTGATAAACACTCTCAGTTTTACATTTTTTAATTATTATTATTATTATTATTATTATTATATGTTTTTTCTTATAACTATAGTTGATAAACACTCTCAGTTTTACATTTTTTAATTATTATTATTATTATTATTATTATTATATGTTTTTTCTTATAACTATAGTTGATAAACACTCTCAGTTTGTCTCGCCCTAATTAAGCAGCTCTATTAAACACAAATATAAAATGTAAAATGAAACTAGTTTAAGCAGTGGTTGTTTCCATTGGACTCTTAGCTCACTCGCTCATATTTTGTTGGTATCAACAGAGGCATTACTGGCTCTGTAATGGATCATACATAACATGCATAACCTCACTGTCCACTGAAGTAACATTTTATTAAACTAAAGGAATTATTGGTGCCATCTTTAACCCACGGCCCGCAGCAACGGCCTTGGAAATGTGGTAACTGATCCTCTTCTCAGAGCAATCAATAATGCAGGTGGCAACCCAAAGGCTGATGAGTCTCTTAAAGGAGGGAGCGCAGTGTTGGGTATCAGTGAAACATTCTTGGGCCCTGAAACTGCTGCTTCTTTATCTGTTCATTCATCCAAAATATTTTTTAAAAGACCTTTTTTAACTAAGGAGAGTAGAATCTGCATTGCTTCTTTATTATGGACTGTTCAAAGCTCTTTTAGTGCCTGTGAACTGCTGCCTGGATCTCTTAAAAAACAAAAAAACAAGAAGCGAGGAGCTTTGTAAGTGGTAAGTTATATAATGTGTGTTTCTTTAAGAGTTTGTTTCACAGACTCAGCTTGCATGTAGTACAGTGAATTACAAGTGTATGACAATCCATGATGACTTTTTATTCTCCTGGAAAGATTCTTTTGGTTGTTGTTTTCTAAAATTACATTAGCTTTCTATCTATTTTCGGTGCTAATGTGTATGATTTATTGTACGGTTTACATCATCTATGTTTACTTATGAAGTCATTAACCGCATAACAATGTTACACTAAAGAATGTTTTCATTCTAATGATACACATTTTTGTGATTTTTTTTTTTTTTTTCAAATTTCAAAGTGGTCAAAGTCCAATTCATTTATTATTGCAGATTATGAGTGTGGCACCACTTTGTTTTCACTTTTAAGTTTATGACAACAATTTTATTTTATTTTTTCATATTTTATTTTTATTATTATGTATTTATTTGTTCGTTTTTTTGCACAGGTGCGATATTTTGCAGCCTCTTTTTAAAATCTACATTTTAACTATTTGTAGTGTACTTTTGTAACGGTTCAGTCATGAAATGAGGTTTTACTTTTTACTTTTTTAGTCATGAAATTAGGTTTCTTTACATCCGCACCATGTGCTAGTACTGTATTGTTTAGGGTCATGCTTAAAACATGAAGGTCTGCTGTCAAACATCTGTCAGCTGAGGTTTCTTGTTCGGTCTCCAGTGAGTTCAACAGCGCCAGAGACACACTAAAGTGGTAGGATATTATTTTCCAGCTCATTCTTCTTATGGGTGATTCCTTCCTTTCCATCATCAGGTCAACTGATAAGGTCTGATTACAAGGCAGGAGGCGAGATCTCCTGTACTTTCATTCTGCGAACTGTATCTAGTCACTCTAGTTATATTACCAATTAAATAGCTCTTTCCCCATAAATCAAAGAAGCCTTCCAGGTTTAAGGGTGTGTTTGTGTGGGAGTAGCTATTACGCAGTGAGCGTCAAGCTAGTTAACAAAACCAGTGAAATGTGAAGCCGTTTTGTTAGGTCACAAAATTATTGACAAGTGTCAAGTGAATGAGCCGTGGTATAAAGTATACTCACGTGTCACTGTCACAGCTAGAGTAAGTACAAATACCAAATGTCAAGACAGCTTCAGCTGACACAGCATTCAGTTGGGCGTTAAACGTTAACTCCAGATCTGTGTTAGTTCGAAGCCATCGCCTTTAATAGACATTACGGGCCAAAGGTCTCTTTCCTTACCTAACACATCTTCACGAGCTCCACGTACGCTCTGGGAGAGGACAGGCGACGCTGTCAAGGTCTCGAATTGGAATATTAGCATCTTTTCCAGGTTAATCTCAAATTCAGTCTTGAGACGTTTAGGAGAAAGGTATCGTTTTCATATAATGTAATGGCAGCATCCATGAAGCTTTGATTTAATTCACTGTCTTGTCGCATCGAAATAGGCTGATTTTGCTGATGTTTTGTGTTCATCAGCTTTCGTTTTTGCAGTGTGCTGTTTATTCACTAATATGTGATTGATGACTTGTATCTGGGGATCTGACATGAAATACACGGGACATGGGATGTTGACACGTCATGTGGTGTGACTTCATAGCGTTTTGCTAATTCTCTTGTTTTGTGTCTTGCAGCTTTTATGGTCTCATATTATTTGTACAGTGCTTTTTAAAAAAATGCATTTATTACACCTTAGCACCATTTAAAACGAGCAAGGTAAAGGCAAATGGTGATTAAATATGCTAAAACCGGAACTTTTAATGCTGATTAAAATCAAATTATACATTATAACATTCAAAATTTTGGGGTCAGTAACATTTATTTTATATACATTTTGAATGTTTTATTATTAATACTTAGACTACTTAATTTGATTAAAAGTGAAAGTAAAAAAGTTACAAAAGATTATTTATTTCAAATAAATTCTGAACTGTGTTCAACAAAGAATCCTGGTTTTCACAAAAAAATAAATAATAGTATCTGTTTTTAACTGATAATATTAACAAATGTTTCTTGAGCAGAAAATTAGCATATTAGAATGATTTCTGAAGGATCATGTGACATTGGAGTCTGGAGCAATGGCTGCTGAATATTCAGCTTTGCATCACAGGAATAAATTACATTTTAAAATATATTAAAATAGAAAACAGTTGTTTTAAATAATAATAATATTTCTGTTTTTACTGTATTTTCAAAAGTTTTGTGTGCATAAGAAACTTCTCTCAAAAGCATTAAAAAAGTCGTACCAAACCCACACTTTTGGATGGTAAGCACACGTCAACTGCTCATCTGGAACTGCATTTCGTGAAGTGTTTTTACCAGTTGTGTCCACCATGGATTTGCTTATCATAGAGATACAGCGGTGGGCAAACAGTGTACTGTATATAGCACACAAACTCTCTGTGTGGACTTTTTTGGCAGGACTTTTGCATGGTGAGAACTGCTGCAGGGAGAACAGCATGGAGAACAAAGTGACACAGATCTCCCGAGAAGATCTGGAGGACCTGAGAGAGGCTTTCAACAAAATCGGTCAGTTAAATTCAGTCTGAATCTCACTGTAGTTTTAGTGAACTCTGCATTGGAACGTGTTGGAATCATCTGACTTGGTGCTTGTCAAACATTACCAAAACTGCAATAACTGACTACACAAATGTCAGTTTTTACGGCTGAGCATTGTCTCACGCAATTCTACACACATAATTTATCGTTTCTATGGAATACTGAAGTATTATGTCGAACGTTTGCTGCAAGAATGGAAAACTGTCAATGCAAACTGCCGTTCTTTCATTGCAGATATTGATAACAGTGGCTATGTAAGCGATTTTGAACTTCAAGAGCTCTTTCGAGAGGCCAGCTTTAACATTCCGGGATACAAGGTACGGGAGATTGTGGAGAAGTTCATGGCAGGTGACACCAACAAAGACGAGAAGATCAGTTTTGAAGAATTTGTTGCGGTAAGCCTGACTATGAGTTTTTGTCTTATCTTAAAATGTTGATGAGCTGGTCAAAGTGCCTGATCTGCTGATTGTTTCACGCACTTTGAAAGCTGAGATCCTGCTTAATTCTTCAGATATACCAAGAGATGAGAAGCAAAGAGGTGAGAGAAACGTTCCGCAAGTGCATCTCCAGGCGGGATGGGATTCGTTCGTTTGGAGGAACATCAAAGATCTCGAGTGAAGGAACTCAGCATTCTTACTCAGGTGGTGGCGTTTACATCCTCTAGGAAGTCAATATGAAACAATAATGTGCTTTAGTTATGTTCTTAATGCAGAGAAATGGTTTGTCTTCATTCATCGAAATATAATAACCAGCTTCGCCTCATTTTTGCCCACCTCCATTCTGCAATGTAATGCCCCACTTTCACCATCCAATGAATTCCTGCCGGATAAAATCAAGTCCAGCTCTACATATTTTCATATTGAATATTCTGTTTCACTTGGACATGCATAAAAATAGCTAGAAATGAGCAGTTTCTGCTATACTTGAGCACTGCTTCAGAAAAAGTCAAAACCTATCTGAACCATTCGAAATGAGATTTGTCAATGAATGACCCTTGACACATGTGGACCAAATGTCATTTTGCGAATGTTTTGTTTTTGAATCCATTTTCAGATGAAGAAAAAGTGGCCTTTGTGAACTGGATCAATAAGACCTTGGCAGATGATCCTGACTGCAAGCATCTGATCCCGATGGACCCGGAGACCGACAGCTTATTCAAATCTGTGAAAGATGGAATATTGCTGTGGTAATATAAGATGAACTGTGTAATGTTTGTTATGCTGTTAAATGCACAGAGGTATTACTGATAAATAAGAGTTTATGTTTAACAACATCTTGGCTGTCTCTTTACAGCAAAATGATCAACCTCTCGCAGTCAGACACCATTGATGAGCGGGTCATCAACACGAAGAAATGCACTTCATTTACAATGACTGTAAGCACTCTCACATTTGAAACCCAAAAAACAGTGACATCAAAAAGTAAATATTTGAAAATCTACTAAATGGATCAATCTCACACATGCACATGTTTTCATGGGGACATTCTGTAGATGTAATAATAAACCCTTCCCCCTAAACCTACCCCTCACAGGAAACGTTCTGCATTTAGATAAAAAAAAAAAATAAAAAAAAACTTAATTCTGTATGATTTATACGCTTGTTTCTTCATGGGGACCAAAAAAATTTCCCCACAAGGATAAGAATTTTGTATATTGCCATCTTTGCGGGGACATTTTGTCCCAATACTGTAAGGTAAACCTGAACCACACACACACACAAACTTATCTAGGTCATATTTTACCCCCAAAAAGAAAAAAAGAAAAAGAAAAATATTGCACATCAAAATGTGTAAAGAACAGTTTTTGTTTGTTTGTTTTGCTTTAGCAATTAATGCAACAATGCACTTTTAATTCTCATTAATCAGAATGAATCATTAAACCGTGATTAATCAACAAAAATTAAATGGACCACAACAAATACTTACTTATACATTTATATATATATGTATATATATACAGTGGGTACGGAAAGTATTCAGACCCCCTTAAATTTTTCACTCTTTGTTATATTGCAGCCATTTGCTAAAATCATTTAAGTTAATTTTTTTCCTCATTAATGTACACACAGCACCCCATATTGACAGAAAAACACAGAATTGTTGACATTTTTGCAGATGTATTAAAAAAGAAAAACTGAAATATCACATGGTCCTAAGTATTCAGACCCTTTGCTCAGTATATAGTAGAAGCTCCCTTTTGATCTAATACAGCCATGAATCTTTTTGGGAAAGATGCAACAAGTTATTCACACCTGGATTTGGGGATCCTCTGCCATTCCTCCAAGTTGCAGATCCTCTGACATCACGGAGCTGGTGGATGTTAGACCTTGCGCTCCTCCACCTTCCGTTTGAGGATGCCCATGTTTGGCCAATCCATCACCTTTACCCTCAGCTTATTTAGCAAGGCAGTAAAGACACACCTGTCTTTGTACTCCTCACCTGGTTGCCACCACACACTCTTGACACCATCTGAACCAAATAAGTTCATATTGGTCTCATCAGACCACAGGACATGGTTCCAGTAATCCATGTTCTTAGTTTGCTTGTCTTCAGCAAACTGTTTGCCGGCTTTCTTGTGCATCATCTTTATAAGAGGCTTCCTTCTGGGATGATAGCCATGCAGACCAATTTGATGCAGTGTGCGGCGTATGGTCTGAGCACTGACAGGCTGACCCCCCACCCCTTCAACCTCTGCAGCAATGCTGGCAGCACTCATACGTCTATTTCCCAAACACAACCTCTGGATATGACGCTGAGCACGTGCACTCAACTTCTTTGGTCGACCATACTGTAGGCAAGACACACTTTTCTTTGTACTCCTCACCTAGTTGCCGCCACACACGCTTGACACTATCTGAACCAAATAAGTTTATCTTGGTCTCATCAGACCACAGGACATGGTTCCAGTAATCCATGTTCTTAGTTTGCTTGTCTTCAGCAAACTGTTTGCCGGCTTTCTTGTGCATCATCTTTATAAGAGGCTTCCTTCTGGGATGATAGCCATGCAGACCAATTTGATGCAGTGTGCGGCGTATGGTCTGAGCACTGACAGGCTGACCCCCCACCCCTTCAACCTCTGCAGCAATGCTGGCAGCACTCATACGTCTATTTCCCAAACACAACCTCTGGATATAACGCTGAGCACGTGCACTCAACTTCTTTGGTCGACCACGACAAGGCCTGTTCTGAGTGGAACCTGTCCTGTTAAACCGCTGTATGGTCTTGGCCACCGTGCTGCAGCTCAGTTTCAGGGTCTTGGCAAACTTCTTATAGCCTGCGCTATCTTTATGTAGAGCAACAATTCTTTTTTTCAGATCCTCAGAGAGTTCTTTGCCATGAGGTGCCATGTTGAACTTCCAGTGACCAGTATGAGAGAGTGAGAGCGATAACACCAAATTTAACACACCTGCTCCCCATTCACACCTGAGACCTTGTAACACTAATTAGTCACATGACACTGGGGAGAGAAAATGGCTAATTGGGCCCAATTTGGACATTTTCACTTACGGGTGTACTCACTTTTGTGGCCAGCGGTTTAGACATTAATGGCTGTGTGTTGAGTTATTTTGAGGGGACAGCAAATTTACACTGTTATACAAGCTGTACACTCATTACTTTACATTGTAGCAAAGTGTCACTTCTTCAGTGTTGTCACATGAAAAGTTATAATAAAATATTTACAAAAATGTGAGGGGTGTACTCACTTCTGTATATCACTGTGAGATACTGTATATTTTTTATATTTATTATTTTATTTGTGGGTGAAATATAACCGAGACATGTTCTAGTTTTTTTAAGATAACCTCAATGTACTTTATGTATCTTTTATATTGCTGGGTGCTAATAAATTATCTTTAGACCCAATAACACTTATTTCTGGGTGAAATATAACCTAGACATGTTCTTAACTTGTTTTTAAAGATAACCTCAATGTGCTTTATCTATCTTCTATATTGCTGTGTGCTATTAAATTATCTTTAAGACCTGTTAACACTGAGCATGAAAGTTGTATAGATATCGCTATATTGCTATATATATATATATATATAAATGTGTGTGTGTGTGTGTGTCACATCACTAAAAAATATATTCTTAATAATATATATAATTTTCTTATCCTGTACACATTTTTTAATTAAAAATGTTGAAATATATTTCATAACTTTTTTTAAATTATATTTGGGTGACATATAACCTAACACATTCTGGACAAGTTTTTTGAGATACTTCCTAATGCACTTTCTGTATGTTTATCATCTTTAAGACCCGTTCACACTGAAAATGACAGCTATATAGATAACACTATCTATATATAGCATCCATAACATCACACGATAATGTTCTGTTTATTATAAGCGTGTGCTGCAGTTTAGTCATCTGTCGTTTTAATGCTCTAGCTTTTTAAAGTCAGGTGGATTCTGATTGGCTGTCAGTGTTAATTAGCTGTAAAAAAAATTCTAACAATTCTGTTGTTTTCTACAGGAGAATTTGGTGTTGGCTCTCAACTCTGCGTCAGCTATTGGCTGCACGGTGGTCAACATCGATGCTCAGGACATGAAAGCAGGAACCCCTCACCTCGTGCTTGGCCTCCTCTGGCAAATCATAAAAATCGGCCTCTTTGCTGACATTGAGATCTCACGCAATGAAGGTCATTACTCTGCTGCAATAGCCTAAATTCAGATTTTTATAATCATGGTGCTGTCCCAATGGGGTGCTGATTGCTGCCATAAATAAATAAAAGCATGCATGTACGTGCGTGACTGATTTACGCCTATTAAGAGGTTTGAGTAACACGTGTCTGTGTATTTATGCCTCTGTAGCTCTAATTGCTTTGCTGGGTGAGTCAGAGGAGCTGGACCACCTGATGTCAATGTCCCCTGAGGACATTTTGCTGCGATGGGTCAACTATCACCTCAAAGCTGCTGGCTGGGAACCAATCAGAAACTTCAGTGATGATATTAAGGTAGTTTATAAGCTTTATAACAGAAGTCATAATTATCTGTTGCTACTGAAAATTGACATCACCCCATTAGAACTAGGCTTTGGGCTAAAGTTTATCACACACACACACACACACACACACACACACTTATATATATATAAGTTTGGGGTCAGCAAGAACTTTTTTTAATGAAGTAATACTTTCATTCAACAAAGATGCATGAAATGAATTGAAAGTTAAATTAATAAATGTCTTTACTCTTTGTCTACTTTCTATTTGTCAATAAATACTCAAAAATATGGAGCAGCACGACTTTTTTCAGCATTGATAATAATAAGAAATATTTCCTGAGCAGCAAATCAGCCTATTAGAATGATTTCTGAAGGATCATGTGACACTGAAGACTGGAGTAATGATGCTGAAAACACAGGAATCAATTACATGTTCAAATATATAAAAGTAGAAAACAGATATTTAAAATTGGAATGATATTTCACAATATTATGTTTTTACTGTATTTTTGCTCAAATAAATGCAGCCTTGGTGAGCAGAAGAGACCCCAAACTTTTGAACGGTAGTGAATATCCTAAATACATAAATTACAAATAGCATAGATAAAGGTAATATATTTTCAAAATTTAAAACATATTTAGCGTAAACCTTCAGATGCAAAAATATATTACAAAATGCACTTCAGGGGTTAAGAAAAATACATTTAGTGTAAATGCAAAATTTATTTTTTTTTTATTATGGACAACATAAATATATTTAGATTTAAAGGGGTCATATGACGCGATTTCAATTTTTTCCTTTCTCTTTGAAGTGTTACAAGCTCTTGGTGCATAAAGAAGATCTGTAAAGTTGCAAAGCCACATGTGGTTGCCGCAAGCCCCCAGCCGTTCCTCACTCTAGCCACCGGCCTCCCCTCACTCAAGCCCAACGTGTGTGACGCTGTGTGTTTCGTTGTGAAAGCGAAACTACTTTGTTTGGTCTTCCAAAAGAGGACACAACTAGAAATCAGTGGTTAAGTTGTATTTACAACACTGTTCCAGAACAGTTTAAACCCAAATATTCAGATGTGTGCAGCACATTTTATGGAGGACTGTTTCCTGATCCTGGTAGAGTAGACTACAATGCCGGCTGTTCTGACTCACAGACTTTAAGTAAGTTTTTTATATTAAAGGATTTGCCACTGACGATTCAAACGCGAGTTTTGAGCAGTGTAGAGTAGTGCTTGTTGTTTGTCATTTCTCTGATCACAAATGCAGACATGGTTTTATGTTTACGCGGCGCAATGCAACGCGTAAAAAGACAGTATATGTCATTATAATCCATAATTATGTCCCCACTGGATGCAACAAATGCCTCGTTTATAATGGGTTTTAATGTTTTTGAATCGTCGCTCCGGCCGGACAGGGCATCACAGTATGATAAGGGGTGTAACATTTCCGTCACACACTTGAGGTATTCGGCCAATCACAACGCACTGGATAGCTGGCCAATCA